GTTCTCTCCAAGGAGTGTATCTGCCTCAGGTAAATGTTCAACTCCTATGTCTGTCTTTTGTTTGGCTGGAAGCCACAGGTGTGGGTTCAATTCCACCTGAAGGGCAGCTAGGGGCCATAGTCTCAGTGGTTCCACCAGGCTCTATCAGACCAGCAAACCTGGTCCCCCTCTTTTTTCCCACATCATTCTCCCTCTTTATCTAGGATCTCCTACATAGATCCCCCTCTGAGTGGTTGACAGGGGTAGCTGGGCACCATCTAATTCTTCTGGTCTCATAGTCGTATAGGCTGCAGATCACATGGTGTACCAGTTGCTAGGACTAATTGTTTCCATGAATCTTTGGTTTTCTTCATTCTTGTTTGCTCTGTACAAGGAGAGACCCATCATTTCATTTAGATGGCTGCTTGCAAGTTTCAAGATCCCATTGACTGGGCCTTTTCATAAAACTATTTCCTATCTGTGTTCATCCCACCATCAAGACATGATAGTGAGTGACTGAGAGAGAACAATCTAATTCTCAGGATGTCAGGCAGAAGGACTGCAAAGCATAGCTTGTCCAACCACCAACATTGGGGAGAAAAGGGACCAAGGCAAAGATGGTGTAATGGAAAGTAATACTGAAGAACTCAGGCTTCAGAATCAAACAGGCTTGGGTTAGAATCTGGATTAGATCCTTTCTATGACTTAATAACTTAATTTGTAAAAAAAATAATAAATAAATAAAAAGGGGTGGGAAGTTGGGTAACAGACTTCGTCTCACCTACTTTGGTCATGTTGTCAGAAGGGACCATTCCCTGGAGAAGGATGTCATGCTTGGTAAGGTGGAGGGTCAACAGAAGAGGGGAAGGCCCTCAATGAGATGGACTGGCATAGTGGCTACAACAGTGGGCTCAAGCATAGCAAGGATTGTGAGGGTGGCACAGGACTGGGTAGTGCTTCGTTCTGTTTGTACATAAGGTTGCTATGACTCAGAGCCAACTTGATGGCACCTAACAAGAACAACAACATCACAGAGTTATTGTGAGGTTTAAGTGAGAAAATATATGTACAGTGCTTCATTGTGATATCTTGTCTACGAAATGTCCACCTTTGATTCCTTTCCTCCTTATATATACATGAGTTGGGGCTGACTTTGACTGAAAAACCAAACCCATTGCCGCTGAATCAATTACGACTCATAACTACCCCTACAGGAGAGAGTAGAACTGCCCTATAGGGTTTCCAAGGTTGTAAATCTTTATGGAAACAGGCTTCCTCATCTTTCTTCCATGGAATGGCTGGTGGGTTTGAACCACCAGCCTTTTGGTTAGCAGCCAAATGCCTTAACCACTAGACCACCAGAACTCCTTGTGACTGCTTAGATCAATAGAATTCAGCAGAAGTGAAATGGTGTCAATTATGGGACTAACTTTTAAGAACACTGGAAGTTTCTACTTTCTTCTTTTTGGGATGCCTCCTCTCAGAACACAGAAGCCATGTTAGAAGGAGTCCAAACAGTGTGTGCTAGAAAATTTTTAATAACCAGCTATATGAATTAAGTACTGACTCATAGTGTTTGTCAATTTTCATTGTGTAAATAACATGGCTGAATAGAGGGCACAATGTGTCATCACTGAGCATGAAGTTGTTAGGAGATGCACCACACACATAGACGTAAATAATCCCATTAGTAAAATGTAGCAGAACAATTAGGGAATTTTGAGTATCATCATTGTTTTTCATATAATTTATTTACTTCTGTTTTTGTTGTTATGTGCCGTCGAGTTGAACCTGACACATAGCGACCCCTCCTTGGGTTTCCAAGGCAGTATCACTAGGGAAGTAGATTGCCCCATCTTCCTTCCAAGGAGTGGCTGGTGGGTTTGAACTGCCAGCCTTGTGGTTAGCAGT